GACACAGCAAGGATAAATAACTTGCCAAAGGCCAGACAATTTGAAAGGCTAGTGCCTGGATTCTAATCTAAGCTGCCAAAGAGTTCATATTAACAACACCAACCATTCCTCATGATAAAGAACCACCCTTGAAGAATGAACCAGGAGCACACAGGAAAATGCAATATTATATTTATTCATCAAACATGAGGGTACTTGTAAATTTCACTAAAAATTGGATTAAAAAAGAAGTATTTTCAAATCCATGCCTACAGCAGGGGCTGGTGCTGTGGCATACCGGGTAGAGCTGCTGCCTGCGGTGCTGGCATCCCATGTGGGTGCCAGTTCAAGTTCCAGTTGATACACTTCCTATCGCTCTGGCCTAGGAAGGCATGGGGAATGGCCAAAATTCTTGGATCCCTGCACCCGCATTGGAGACCTGGAAGAAGCTCCTAGCTCCTGGCTTTGGATTAGCACACAGCTCCGTCCATTGTAGCCATCTGGGGAGGGAACCAGCAGATGGAGGACCTCTCTCTCTCTCTCACTCTCTCTCTCCTTTTCTCTGTGTAACTCTGCCTTTCAAATAAATAAATAAATAAATATTTTTTTAAAAACCCATGCCTACAAGAGGACTGCAAAAAAACACATGAAAACATACATTACAAAAAAAAAAAAAAACCAAACCTGTGCATGGATTTCAAAGTTTCTTTTTGCACTAAAATAAACTTATCTTTCAATTCTACTTTTCCATGAACATATTGAAGCAGCTTTATTGAGCACCTACTGTGTGCCAAGTCCTTTTATATATGCTGAAGATTGAAAGTAGGTAGGATCTCTAAGAGTGACTAACTGCTACTCAAGTTTGGGGCATGCAAGGTAATGTTTTGTGGGTCTGGTGGCCCTAAGGCATTGCATCTTGGAATCTGTGTTCTTTCACATGTCTGAAATGCAACTGGGTCTCTGACAAATGGTTTCCAACACAGCAAAACTCCAGAGGCTAGGACCCAGTGGATACAGGGTTACTAGCACAGAGATAAGGAAAAAGAACAATGTGCCTAGGAAATAACGCTCTAGTCTGTGGTCATGACTGGCAGCCTGCCTGGCCCTTCCTGTGCTCCTCTGCAGTGGATGGTGCCTAAGGCCTAACTCCAAGAAGTATGCAAGGAACGCCCCCTACCTGTGCTGCTTTCCAGCCTCTGCACCATGTGGAGGCTGCCATTCTGTTTCGAGAGTGCCAAGAGCACAGTCAGAGGTGATGCAGCATCCAAAAACCCCAGGAGGGCAGGGGTCACCTATGAACTTCATGACCCAAGGCAAAAAGGAAGGAGAAGACTGGCCCTACATCCACAGGAAGGCCCCTTGGGACCTTAGCCAGACTTTTGACTCAGCTGGACTTCAAGAAATATCAGTGATAAATATATTTATCACCGTTAATAACAAGTGGCACGTGACTAAGTGCAGAACTGAAACTCAGATGGCCAAGGAACCAAGCATGTCCTTAAAAGAGAAGGAACAAGTTTGGGTGACGGGAGGGATAAAAAATGGATGGAGACATGCGTACACCTGCTGATGATGTGATTTTGGTACATGCTATTGAAGCCCACACCCCTAACCCCTGGTGATGCCAAACCCTGGCTTGCCTTCCTGCCTCAGATGCCATCCCTTGCTCTCAGGTACAAAAATCATCCACACTTTCCCCATATGAGGCAATTTCTCAAATGCCAACTTCTATTGTGGGAGAAAAATGCAGATCTCTCCTACACTGAAAGCTTTGGATTTCCTTCTTCACCACCTCTTCACTTGACACATCTCTGTATCTGCCTTCCTCTCCCAGGTACCTTGCTCTTCCAAACTTCTAGTTGAGCAGTACTGGATTCAGTTCTCCCCCCTTCCCTTCCTCAATTCCACCAACAGAGTTAGGTTAAGGAACTCAACCACAATGTCCAAAAATGAGGGTGAAGCCAAATCCACCCAATGACTAGTTTGCATTGTAACAGTTCAGATGTGAGGTCTACTCTACGGACTCCAGGAATCCCCCGTCAAAGGGCTTCTGCCCCACAGCTGGCATCAAGAAAACAGAACAAGCAACCTTGATTTCAGCTGAGAGCCGTTGCTCAAGGGGACTCCAATAAATGATTAAAGAAGATTATTTTTCATAGGGCAAAATGCACCCCTTCTTTCCTGGCTTTCATTCAGATCGATGACTTGGAAGTGAATTCAGATTTCAGTCTGGTGTGATTTTACTTCCTTTGACAAGGTGGGGAAAACAAAGTATTCTAGGAGCAGGCGTTTGGTGCAGTGTTAAGATGCCACTTGCCAACACCCACATCCCATACAGGAGTGCTGGAGTTCAGCTCTGGCTCTGCTTCCGACTGCAGCTTCCTGCTAGTGTGCACTGCTGGAGGCAGTGAGTGATGGCTTAAGTATGTGGAGGTCCCTGCTACTCATGAGCTTTGGCCTGGACAAGACCGGGCTGTTGCAGGCATTTGGGGGAGTGAGCCACTGGGTGGGAGATATCTCTCCATGTGTCTTTCAATTATATATAATTTCTACAACTTAGAGGAAAATCAAGAATACAAACCACTGTAAAATAAGAAAGGGCAAACCACTGGCAAAATAAGAAAGCAGACAAGCCTGGGTTGCACATAGCCTAAGACAGCGTGCTGGCCAGACAAAAGCCACCTATTCTGTGCAAATGCCCATGTACAAGGGACATTGGAACTGTAACCAGAGATGCTTAGAGACTGAAACCTTCAAGCAAATCAAAGGAGTCAACCTCAAACACAATCTGGGGCAGCAGGGGAGATACTTTGAGACGAGCAAACTTTTCGAGCTACCCCTAGATTTGACCTTCTGTGATCTGTTTCCTGACTTAACTCCTCCACTGGCTTTAGAATTGTTCTCCCCACTGTAAGTTAACCTAGTGACCAAGGATAAACAGGAAGTACCATTTGTGTTCCAAGTGCTTGTGAGCAAGACTCCCTGAAACCCACAACCTCCTAGGGTGAGTCCAACACACCGAGGTGGATGGAACCCTTTTCAAAGGGTTTCTGAAGCAAGATGAAGTCAACATTGAGAGAGGCTTATCAACTGCTTGCCAAACTTCAGCCTGGGACAATTTTATTAACCTTAACTGACCGATCGTGCAATGAATTTATAAGGGAAATTCTTAGTGATGGCTTCTCAGCAAGCAACCACAGCAACTGGCACAGCGCTACCACACTGCCCTGGAGTCCGGAGAGGATGCCCATGTCCAGATTCCGGCCTTTGGAAAACAAGATCTGTAACGGCTGAAAGCTAACCTGCCTGCTCCACCCTGCGGGGCCCAGAGGAGAATGAAGTAACTCCTTCCAGCCCAGCCAGTGGGCCCAGAAAGCAGTGACTGTTAGAAAGCAAGCAAAGAGGAAAGCCACAGTGCCTTCATTATGCTATTAAACTGTAACCACCTTTTCCTATAAGCATCTTCCTGTTTGCCCTGGAAGAGGACTGTTTAACTGCCATGTGGGTGCTGTAGTGCCAGTTCAGCAGAGAGCACTTCCTGTGGCTTGTGTGCAGCCGGCAGTGGCATGCACTGGCCCAGAGGCAGGCTGAGAGAGGCCCTTCCCCAGGAGGGGATAGGGGAGAGAGCTCAGGGACACGGGCCCCTGGTTCCAGGAGTGCTGCTGATTTCCTGTCCTCAGGTCCCCACCACGGGAAGGCAAGAGGGGAGCCCCTGGCACACAGAGGAGGAAGCTGCTCACTCCCAGGCTCCTTCCACCTGGTCCTGGCCCTGCGCAGGGTCAACAGCACAGGTGTGTCTGGGGCAATGAGTGGGAAATGAACACACACTGTGGACACCTGTGCTTCTCAGGGGTCATCCCCAGAGCACAGCAGTAGCAAGCCGGGTGCTTGCTAGGCAACTCTCAGTCCCAGCCCCAGACCTTGATGGGGTGGGGCCCAGCCACCTGTGCCTTCACCCGCCCACAGGTAAGTCTGATGCTGCTTAAGTTTGAGAAGCTGTGGGTGGGAGAACAATGCTCACCTGAGACAGGTGGCATAGGTAAGGTGGGCACACAAGATGCTTTACACAACCAGAACAAGGAAAGGGGTGGGTGATGATATAAAGAGTGACTTCCCTAAGGCCAGCGGCAAGATAGGGATCCCACCCATAATGAACCGGAAACTGCTTTTCCCCAGCTACCACTAAGAAAACTGGAGTAGTCAAGATTTAGCAGTTGCTGGAAACTGCTACTGCCCTTCTTCCTGCCTGCTTCTCCCCATGACTAGATGCTTAGAGTTGGCTGTGGAGAGACTGTAACAGGGACCTGGACCAGCCATTTGATAAGGAAGAGGGAGGTGCCCTTGTGTGTAAATGCTGCAGCCATCACCTACTGTGAGAGTCAGCAAGCTCCAAGAAGAAGCCTGGGGCAGTTGTGCTGTGGTGACAGTTCCTGCAGCCTCACCAGGACCCCAGGGAGCCCAGCTGGCCCGATTTGGGGGACCGAGGGGACCCGAATACAACTGAATACAACCAAAGCCCGCCAGCTCATGACCTTGGACATTGGGTGGTGGGCTTGGTTTCCTCTGTAGCCCAATGCTGGGTTAGAACAAGGGATGAAACCATGCAGCAAAGCCCTCGTCAGGCATAAAGTCAGCGGGAGGGAACAGCACCCAGGTCTCAGTACAGCATCTGGAAACCACATCTGCAAAGCTGGACCAGAACCTGTACCACCCAACTTTCCCAGCACACCAGTAGGACCTGCAGGGGCTCACAGAGCTGGCCGGCAGCAGTCAAGGCATCCCCCATGCCCCCTCGCTTCCCTTCTATTAAGGAGGGCTGGAAGGAGGGGCAAACCTCCCAGCTTCTGCCCGCAGGCCAGGTAAACAAAGGCCCGCCTCCCCCAGCCGTGCAGCACAGCTGAGCGCTGGAAGACCGGACCCGACCCGTGACTCACACTTTTCCTCCCCGGGGCAGTGAACTCCGAGATAACGTTATCCACGCGGAAAGTTTACGTCGGGCCCTCTCCACAGAGCCCCCTTACCTTCCTCATTCAAAATCCACGGCAGAAACGCAAACACCGAACCAAAACCGCAAGTGTCCTCTTCAAAGGCACAGGAGCCCGCGGGCAGGTCCAGGGCACCAGCAAGCTGCAAGGCTGTGGACACAAAGCCAGTTTCGTTTCGGACGCCCGCCCGCGAGCGTTTGCACCCTCTGCGGGCTTCCTGGGGGTGCCTCCTGGTAAAGTGGGGCGCAGGCCCGCCGCACGGGGATGCGCTACCTCCCGCAGCACCCCCAGGCGCGACCCCACTCCCACCCGAACCCGACTGGGCCAGGGGCTGGGGATTAGTGGCTGCACAGACGGTTCGGAAAGCGCCCTTGAATGGCCCAGTTCAGCACCGCTCGCGGGACCACCAAGGGCAGCCGGAGCCCGAGAGAGTCGCGAGCGCGCCCCCAGGGGTCTCCGCAGGCTCTTACCTTGCACCGCCAGGAGGAAGCCCCTGAACAGCATGGTTACGCTTGCAGGAGGAGGAGGAAGAATAAGAGACAGGCACTGGGTGCATGCAAGCGGCCAGCTCGCTGGGACCCGCTGCTCCCGGGAGGAGGCGAGCGTGGGGGGCGGGCGCGCGGCAAAGCGTGCCCTGGGCGCTGCTCCACTTTGTGCCGAGAGCAGAGCGGGACGCCGGAGGGGCTGGCGGCTGGGCTGGTCCCGGGCGATCGCGCTGCCGGACAGGGAGGAGACGCTTGCACACTTGTGCAAGGCCAGCGGCGCCTGGGATTTTAAAGCTTGAGACCAGACCTTTGCAGGCTGCTGGGAGGGGCTGGCCTTCGCAAGCCCCTGTGCTGGGCTGAGACCGCAAGCACCCGCCCCGCCCCTCGCGGTGGGAACCAGCTTATTTCTGGGGACAGCCTCCCCGCATCTGGCGGGTGTCAGTCCTGCCCTGGCCCTAATTTTAACTTCTTCTCCCTAGAATGGAGGGGGATGGAATTCTCTTAGGACAGGCTAAAAGAAAATTTAGAAACGGTGGCGTGGAACCAGTTTTGCTTCTCAAGGTTTTCTGCGTTGCCGGCCCGGTGCTGCCCCATCCCCCTAACTTTTTAGCCAGTGGAATGTCAGGCATGCCTGGTGCTCAGCGTCCCCTGCGCCCCCGAAATGGGCAGACTCCTCCTTTCCTGAGAATCGCGATGGATGGATGATTGCAAGGGACTCAGCTGGGACGCAGGGTGGTGGGTGGGGGCTTGGGGAGGTCTGGGGCGGAGGAACCTGTCTGTTACAAGTTTGCTTGGAGTTCTGCGTTCCCAACAATCTCTTCCAGGGAAGAGGTGTTGCTCCTCCAACCTCTTCGCGATTTGTGCAGGAACTTTCGTGACTGGCTTCTAAACTTGAGCGTGCATCAGAATCCCCGGGAGGCCCCGCCCCCAGAGGTTCCAATGGGGTGGGGGAAGGCGGAGCGGGGCGGGGGGGGGGGAGCCTGGGATTATGCACCTTCTTGGCAAGCTTCCAGGACCGCTGGCTGCCAAGCTCCCGTTCCGGTCTCAAAGCCTCCGCTCACATGCTCCCACCTGGCTTCCTGGCTCCTGCTTTTCCTTATCTTCCATCAGCAGCTCTTCAGCCTCCTCCCCTGCTTGTTAACTGCACTCTTAACACTGCGGCACCTGCAAGTTCTGTCCTCAGACCCCGGTTTGTTTCTCTACTCGCTGAGTGATTTCATCCAACTATATGTGAACTCCAGGCTGATGACCCGCACTTCCAAGTTTGCAGCCCAGACTGCTCCCCGACTCCACACTCTTCTATCTCATTGCCACCTCAACGTTGTCAGCTGCATGCTTCGGAGCTTTCTCATACCTAACATGTCCCAACACAAATGCCTCCTCCTTCTCAAACCTGGACTCTCCCTCCTCACTCAGGACACAAACCTCAGCCATCCTGACTGGTCCTGTCCTCTCCAGAGGTTCCTCTGTCCTGCCAGCTCAGAAGTCACAACACAGCAGGTGCCCACAGCGCTCTGTCGCAGCTGCCAGGGCTCCTGGCCTGGGACACTGCTGTAGCTTCCTGGCCATGGTCTCCCTGCTTCTTCTGCCTGGCCCAGCCCCCAACCCACTTTTCACAGGCATACAGGTTAAAATTGATCAGATTTGTGAACTGGAAGACCACGCCTTCGCCACGCCCCTATGTGGCCTCATGCCCCTGCCTGATGCCTTTGCCACGCCCCTGTGTGGCCTCAGCCCCTACCTGGCCACACCTGGGTGCCCATCAGCTAATCAGGTTAATTAACCACTCCCCTTTGGAAGTGGGTTAAAAGCTGGGCCACAGTGTGGCACGGCCTGCTCTTCTTCCCTGGCCTCTTGCCAGAACAGGGCTTGCTGTAGCCCCGCGCCTCCAGGGCGCATGGCCTTTGGGCCACGTGCTCTAGGCTTCCTGGCCTAGATGCTCATCCACGTGGCTGGCTCCTGGTGCTCGGTATGAACCCCTATTCACCTCTCTCCCCTAAATAAAGCTCTCACTCTCTTATGCACCTTTCTTACTAAATAAAAGCTTAAAACGTACCATGCTGCCTCGTTTATCTGTGCCGGTATTTAGAATTCTTCTCTAAATATTAGGCAAAACCCTCTCGGGCTTATTAATATCGGGGATTTAGTAATAAGCCCGTGGTGAAATCATAAGGCACCCCAAATTCCGGTAGCACATGTGGCACCCTGGATAGCATTTCTAGGGAACTTTAAGGGGCCACATTTTAGTGTGAATTTTAGGGAGTCTTGTGTGATTTCAGTTGGGGCCATCTTTTTAATATGGAATTCGGCCTTCACACTCCTTGGCTCAGGACTTGTCAAATCCCAGTACCCCTGAGGTCCTATAAGACCTTGCCTCATCCCCTCATGTTTCTGGCCTCACCTGTCCTGCTTCCTCCCCTGCAGCCACACGGACCCCATGGGCAGTCCCCAGACATAGCCCAGCTGTCCTCTCAGAACCTTGCACCATCGGTTCTCCCTCCACTTAAAATGCCATTCCCCAAATAGCCATATAATTCACTGCTGGGGAGTCTTCAGTGTTACCTTCAATATTAGAAAATTTAACAAGCCTTCTCTCTAACGAGGAAAACAGATTTGAGATCCTTTGAAAAAGATTTGGACAAATTTTCTTGAGTTTTTTTTGTAAGCGGTGACTCAAATATCTAAGATTTCTTTACATGTGTGCTCTTTGGTTATATGTGTGGGTTTAAATGCTTTGCTTCAAACAGTAACTAATGAAAATGAACATTTATTAAGTTTACTATTATGTTTTATATAACCTCATTTAACTTTCAGAAAAAAATCCATGGGTGGGTATTATTATTGTTCCCATGTCAAAGATAGAGAAACTGAGATCCAGGGTTCAGGGACAGCAAGTAGTAGAGACAAGCTTCAAATCCAGGTCTGTTTCACCCCAGCTGGTGGAGCAGACTCTCTCTCTGGTCTTTTACAGCTTCTTGCTCACAGTCAGTGCTAAATTCCAATGAAATTCATTAAAAATTCAAAGGCAGATATGAACCCACTTGAGGCTTCAAAACTCTATTTTTAATCAAGCAAGTTTTCAACAATTATCTGACTGCCTCTCCCTTTTCCAGGTAATTACAGAATATCCCAAAGTTCTAGAATTGCCTTAGGTTCATGTTGTACCCCTATGTTCGAAGCCACCAAAAAAAAAAAAAAAATGAAGAATGTCAAAGCCCTAAGGAGATCTCCAAGTGATTTAAAACAGCATCTAAGACTTTAAGATGACTCAACTTGTTGCCACCTGAGGACGCAGTCATTAGCACTTTGTGGAAGTAAAATTTTGACACAGCACACATGCATGATCCCAAGGACACATGGTCCTTAGATGCTGGTGCAGGTTGGAGTGTCCGGAGTTTGGTGTGGGAGAGGTGCACTGGGGGTGCTGTTGGCATTATCACCCAAGGAAGGGGGGAGGAGGAAGCAGGACTGGGCCATGGGAGAAGTGAAGAAGTGAAGTTGCAACATGGGCTCTGCAAAGCCTCTCTAACCCCACAGGGAACTCTGCAGATAAAATGAGCCCTCTGACTTCACCCTAGGTTTGGCTGAGACGACCAGGGCTGTGCCCCATTGCCTCCACTGATCACAATGTGTGGCCCTACCTTAGGATGCTGAGTGGGGAGGCAGCCTGCCCTGAAGCTGAGCGGCAGGGGCTGAGGTCTGGACGCTGTTCCATGACAATTCTCCCAGGAGCCAGGACCACAGGTCCTTCCTTGAAGGGAGATCCAGACGGCACATTCGTGTCCACCATAGTGATTTTGCAGAGAAAGGAAAAGATACTGTGTGTGCACTATATCTGGGGGGCAGTGAGAGGGCCTAGGAGGGAAGCCAGAGAATCTAGAAGTTATGTGTGGGAACAAACATCCTCCACTCTTTAATCAGGGGGCCCACATGAGTGGGGCCTGCCCTCTTTGCTTAGGAAAGCAGGGTCAGGGGGCTGATGCCCGGCATCCCATTTGGGCACTGGTTCTAGTCCCAGCTGCTCCTCTTCCAATCCAGCTCTCTGCTGTGGCCTGGAAAAGCTGTTGTGGCCATTTGGGGAGTGAACCAACAGAAGGAAGACCTCTCTCCCTCTCTCTACCACTCAAATAAATACTAAAAAACTTTAATAAAAGAGAGAGAGAGAGAGAGAGAGAGAGAGAGAGAGAGAAGGGTGGGATGTCCTTGCTATAGCTCTATTAGAGATTCTTTAAAGAAAAAAAAAAAGGAAAGCAGGATCAGGCCCTAGGGAAGCTCGAACTCTCTCCTCCAAGATTTAGCTAAATTAAATGACTTTTGACTTACAGAAACCTTTGTAATAGGTTGCACACTGCACTTCCCCCAGCCCCCAGAAGGTGTGTCTGTATCCCAGGACCTGCGAATATGACCTTTTTTGGAAAAAATGGACTGTGCTGATGTAATTAAATCATGATCCATCCTGAGTTATGAGACAAGCCCTGCCTAAGTGACAAGGGTCCTTAGAAGAGAAGTCACAGACACAAGCAGGAGAAGGTCATGTGAAGACAGAGGCAGAGCTTGCAGTGACATAATTCCGAGCCAAGGAAAGCCTGGAGCCACCCAGAGCTTGAAGAGGCAGATGACAGATTCTGCCCGGAGCCTCTGGCCTCCAGAGCTGTAGAGAATCACTTCCTGTTGTTCGCGGAAGTGTTTTCCAGCAGACACGGGAAACTAATCCCGAGGGCACTGTGCATTAAGCAAAATGCCAGATGCTTCACATACATGATCTCACTTAATCCACGCAGCATCCTATGATGTGAGTATCACTGTTGTGCCCATTTCACAGAAGAAGGAGCAGACCAAAGGGATGAATTAATCTGCTCAGAGTCGCACGTGCAGCCAGCATGTAGCCAAGAGTCCATCTCAGAGCCCAACTCTGCTGGCTGCACAGACGCCGCCCTTAAAAGCTCCCCTATCCCAAAGGCGGCCTTTCCTTCCAAGGGCTGCCAACATCGCATGCACAAAGGCCCAGCCCTCTTTCTCAGGACCCACCCGATGCTCACCTCTCCCACAGCCTGGCCCATCCTCACTTTTCTGGGGCTCTCTGCTCCCTCTAAATATCCTTAGCTGGGGCGCTGTTTCTGTTGCACCACTTTCGGCCTAAAGAGGTCCAAATTTTTGCTTCCCTTTGACTTTCTGGGTGCAACACTGATGCTCCCTGCAGAAGTTGGTCACTCTTCTTCTCCCATAGTTGGATGAGGCATTAAAAGCCACAAACTCATCTGTGGGAGGAAAGAAAACATCCAGTGCTTGTTACACTGATGCGAGGCCAAACTTGGAAGCTGTCTTGTGCACTCATTTTCCCTTCTGCTTGCTCTCTCACCTTTCATGCAATGGCAAATTCAGCGAACATTTCCTGAGCACCTACCATGAACCAGGCACTGTGCTCAGGGTCAGAAACCCAGGGGTACACAAGACAATCTTCGCCTCTGAGACAGGAGCCTGACACTGACCCACGGTAAGACTGAACAAAGGCTACAGACATCAAAAGGCCAAGGGCCAGGGAGGTAACATGAATGGATGCCACGGAACAATATCAGAGGGACAATGGGGAGTGATGGTGACTGTGGTGAGCTGGGGCAAGCAAGCCCAACTAGAGGGCATCCCTGGGACCAGCTCTGCCCCAGCTGCTCACTTTTTTTTTTTTTTTAAGATTTATTTATTTATTTGCGAGGTGGAGTTACAGACATGGAGAAGGAGAGGCAGAGAGAGGTCTTCCATTCGCTGGTTTACTCTCCAAATTGCCACAATGGTTGGAGCTGGGCCGATCCGAAGCCAGGAGCCAGGAGCTTCTTCTGGATCTCCCCTGTG